AAGGCAATAGGAATGCAATTCTAATCACATTGAGCCCCTGTTTCCACTCTGGGTTTTGGGTTTGGTCCTCAGCTATAGTTTTGAACACAGGCGGCAGGTGTCTGGAGTGGACTGCACCTGCACAGCTCAGAAGTAAGTGGCTGAGTCCCCAGCATGAGAGTCCCTGATGTAGAGGTGACTGTGTTTCTTGATATTGACTGTGGATTTTAGTCTTCCTTTTGTTGCATTTCATAAACTATGGTACGAGGCATCCACCTGGATTTTGTTGAAATAACTGCACATTGATTTGTAAGTAGAAGAAATGCATGTCAGCCCTGGCTGGGTGGCTCAGTTGGTTAAAGCATCATCACGATATGCCAAGGTTGTGGGTTTGATCTCCAGTCAGGGCACACACAAGAAGCAACCAAGGAATGCATAAATAAGTGGAACAACAAATTGCTCTCTCTCTCTCTCTCATTTCCCCTCTCCTTCCTGTTTCTCCAAAATAAGTTTTTAAAAATCTGCATATCAGAGAGGAATTTCTCCATTCTTGGAGAATCAGTATCCCAGGGCTTTGTTCCACCTTCATCTGCAATCTTACCCTTGTCGAGAAAGAAAATTAAGCACAGGGTACAGGTGAGGATCACTCCAACATGACAGTAGCTATTTCCAAGTGCTGAAAATTTTCTCTAGTTTCCCCTTTCAAGGGAAGGACACAGTCCAAGAGACTACTGTTTTCTCTCTTACCTCACCTTTCCTTTTTCTCTCCATTGATTCTTTCCAAATTCAGCTGTGACATTCCTGCCTAATCCCCTTGGGATGTCCTCAACTCACAGAGAATCTGTTTCACAGGAGGCCCAGCAAGACTCCCTTTTGTGCCTTCATGATTCTTTACCCCTTTGCTGGAGGGACAGACCTTGATATCAAGTCCCTTTAAATGTTAGTAAATGACATCTTGAATTTGGAGCTAATGTTGTTCCTGTAGCCCATCAATTTCATGCGATAGATTCAGCAGAAGCCATTTCTAAGTTCTGTTGCTCAGCTTTGTGGTGGGAAGCTCCACCTTCTTGTGGCTTAGTTCACCTTCTACACACTGTGGCATGTGTGCATGTGTGTGAATTCTATTGGAGTACTAGAGTGACTACTTTTTGAGGGTTTGCAATGAGTATATTTATACATATTTATAAAATACAAATATATATTATATATTCATTACCTATATTACAAATATATATATATATATATATATATATATATATATATATATATATATATATAAATAATACATACGAGGTTTGTTCAGAAAAAGTTCAGCCATTTTTAACATATTGAGAATGGTTTGCGTGACATCAATGTAACCTGGCAGCCAAGGAGAGTGGCCTGTAATGCACATGTGTGAACAATGACGATTTCACTGTACTAATTAGTAGAGGTGGCAGACACCATTGAGTGAGCATGTGTACCGTGTGGTCATCACATCCAATATGACTGAGTGAGTAGAGCAATAAATCTGCATCCATCTTTGCATTAAGCTTGAACATTCCTTTACAGAAACATCTTTTGGATAATTCAGAATACTGCAGCTATGGGCAACTGGTGATTGGCAGCTTCATCATGACAACTTGCCCACTCATGCATCACGTTTCATGCAGAGTTTTTTTTGGTGAAACACCTATTCACCCAGGTGACTCAGCTTTCATACAGGAAAATACAATGGGGCAACTGATGGTGATTTGGGGAACTGTATGGGGTCCTAAATGTTCCTACTTTGAAGGGGACTGAGGTGTCATTGACTTATGTACATTATTTCTTGTATCTTGTATCTTCTTCAATAAATGTCTCTATTTTTCTTATTACATGGCTGGATACCTTCTGGAGAGACCTTGTATTGACCTGTCATATTTTCCTGAATCTCATCAAAGTTCTGAAATCACTTCCTTTGAAAGGTGATCTTAGCTTTGGAAAAGCCAGTCTCAGGGTGCCAAATCTGGGCTGCAGGGGGCTGAGTCGCCTGCGTAATTTGATGTTATAAGTCTTAAGTTTGTATGGACATTTTAAGAAAGTCTCCTGAAAATCTGGAGTTTCTTCCATCACCTCAAACTCCATTGGTTTTTACAGCCAGAAGTTATGGGGATTTATCTTCCTGTCCCTGGAACCCTGGGCTGTGTGGTCTGTCCTGGGGCTGGGATCCCTTGCTCCCAAAGTATCCTTCCCAATTTTTATCTACCACACATGAATGTGGGACCAACTATTCCCTCACCCTCCACACCACACTGTGTCTCTTTACCTCTCCATCCATCTCTGTGTCTCTGCCCCTCCTTGTCCTCCTGGTTGGAGGTGGCTTCCTTAAATCCTCGGTTGTCAGACTTCATACAGCTTGATTTTCTGACAGTTCTGGGTGATATTTGTTTTGAGGTCTAGTTGTAATTTTCTCTGTAGTTGTGCAAGTAGGCAAAGTGTATTTACTAACACCTCCATCTTGACCAGAAGTTCGTCTATATGATTTTTATATGTCACTAATTTTTTTCACTCCATCTGAATCAACTCTAAAAAAAGAAATAAGGGATTGTTTATTACAAGGACATGCCTGTACCTCTATAAATGGCCAAAATTTAACAAACTATGTTAATTTCAGATCAATTTCAGAACCCAACGAGACTGAGAATTTTGTTTTCTTTCTTGGTTATGCATGTGATTTTCATAAATATATGGATATTTTGTATGTAACTTTCACAAACATATGGATATTTTTTGTAAGTATTCTACAATCCAGATTTACATTTTTCCCATGTTTGTAATAGTAGATTTTCCAGATTATGTGCCACTCTATCCAAGAATTCATTACGTGTGTGGGAAAAACATTATCCCTTGCATTCTAAGGTAAGCAAGAGCTGAAGGAAGGTGGAGTCATGGGTCAGTTTTAGGTAGCCTTCTGTATGGAAGTGTTGTACAAATGTAATCAATTTTATATGTTTTCTTGTAACCACAGAACCAGCTCCAAATAATCCTATCATGTTTAACAAGATACTGAGTTGTTTTTCATAAACAATAAACAAAAACTGCAAGTCATGCAGCCAACACATGCGCAAAGGAGGAAGATGTGACTTCCAACTATATCTGGAACCAAAGTCTCATACCTCCACTCACTGATCCCCCCCGGCCCAACAAAACCAAAAGACCAAGGCATAACCAAAATTCAAACACTGCAACCCCTCAGAAGTCAAGAGTCTATCGTTCAGGAAGATCTGGTGTTGACACCTCCTTACCATAAATAGCTGGGTTCCAAGGTCCTCCAATTAAAACTTTCCCCACCAGCACTTCCACACTCTTATTTCCCCTAAGCCCTTAAAAACCCTTGACTTAGTTTAGCAAGAGGGGTTTGAGGCACCATTATGTCTCCCATCTTCTCAGTTGGCTCCTTTTTGATCAATAAACCTTTCCTTACTCCAAACTCAGGGATTTTGAGTTTTGGCCTTTTGGAGCGTCAGGCACACAAACTCAGGTTTTAGTAACACTGACATGAAAGGTGCTGTGAGACATTGTGTTTCAGCAATGCACACATGAACCAAACTTTGTCCTTGCTTTCTTTTCCTGTGTCTTTCTTTTTCTGCAGATACAGTTAGCTAAAGCCATAGAATCATTACTGAAAATATTAGACATTTTTCCATTAATGTTTATTCCACTAATGATGGGGACAGGTTTGGGAAGTTGGCCAGCAGCAGGAACAGTGATGGCTCCTCCTTTGTACTGTTCCACTTCACCAGCACTAGTGTACCATCGGTTCTCTCAGTCAGCCCTGTGCTGCACACTTCCAGTTCTACACACATGCAAACAACATGACAGATTCAACCAGTCCTGGTCTGACAGTCAAACAGATTTAATACCACCTTGTGAATAATTTTAAAAAGTCTTTCCATGTGTATGTCTCTTATATTTGTTTTCAAAATGTGTATTATTTTTCCTAAACATGTGATAATGACAGTGATGAGATTTCTAAGTCTACAAAAAGAAAGAGAGAGAATAATGACAGCATGGCTTAGGAAGTTGGACAGGAGATGGCTAAGTAGTTATTAATGTACATGTCAGGGATAGCTGAAGTTCAAGCTATTAGATGAAGAGGCCCAGCCCCAGTTGGTATGGCTCAGTTGATTGGACATTGTCTTACAAACTGAGAGGTCACTGGTTCAATTCCCAGTCAGGGCACATGCCTGGGTTGTGGGTGTGGCCCTGGGTTGGAGTATGTACAGAAGGCAACAGATCACTGTGTCTCTCTTGCATGGATGCTCTCCCCCTCACTTTCTCCCTCCCTTTTCTGCTTTCTAAAATATTAATAAAAATAGATAAAGAAGCTCAGAAGCAAAGTTCAGTTATTTATTTAATATCACAATCACAGTACCAACTGGAGGAATCAAGTTTAATGTTGAACTTCCCTATCAATGCTTCTTTCAGTATCATATTTGCATTTTTAGCAGCAGCTATTTACATTTTAAAAATGCAAATAACTGCGTATAAAAAGAAACACAATACAGATGTTCATAAAGGTGGAAGGTTAAAGTAAACTGAAGTCAAAATCCCCAATGAAGTAAGTGAGACAGCATTGCCTATTCTGGTATGAAACATGCTGGTTTCCAGGCCAGTTGTTTGATAAGAGGGAGTATCCACACGTTCCATTTCTGCATGTGAGGAAATATGATAGAAGGACTAGCTTTTAGGAAGTAGCAACAGTGAGGGATAAATATCACCTTAGTTTAACCAGATGATTTTAGATAGGTTTGAGTAACTGTCTAGTTCATTTGGAATCATGCCAGAAGAGGAAACAAAAGATTCAGCTCAAAGATATGTCTACTATACTGGTGGGAGTCGAGGTTAATAGTGTTTAGTAACAGTCCAATTATTAGTTGAGGGAGCTGCAATGACAATGTTTGTTTATCTATGTTTGCATTTCCCCTGATTATTGAAAACACTGTAATTCACTGAATTTGTCTTTTCCACCCCACACAAGACCCTTCATCAACAGATACCTAAGTAGCACCAGCCACAGGTTTGGGTATAGCCTGCAGGTGCCTTAAAAGCACTGTGCCAAACGCACAGAGGTACGTGGCTGCGTCTTCGGGCTGGGATCTTTTGATGAACAAATGGCTAAAGCCTTTCTTAGTATTAAGAATGGCACTAACTCGTCCTTCTTCCCTTATATCCCCATCTGAAGCGAGTACAAACAGGATCTTGGGGCTTTTTGCAGGTTCCCATCTGTACCAGTGTAAAGCATAAAAAGAGCTGGAAGGGAAATTGCAGGTGAAGTTGGTGCTCTCTCCTTCATGAATATGCAGTGACTGAGGACTCTGTTCCACGGTCAATTCACTGCTCACTCCTGTTCAGAAAGACAGGATGAGACATAGAAACTGTTTTTCTCTACAGAGGTTTTATTTTCTTTGTATTGTCTCAAATAAAACCTAGAGGTGTCTGACTGCATCATCCTCCTTCCCCACCACCACTCTATATTTTTAAGAATGTCTTCAGCAACCCAAGGACTTACGGACAAGATGAAGCCATAGGATTAATAATGAGGCTGGCAAAAGTTTATTCTCCATTTATCCTATCCAAGTATCCTCAGCAAAGTTCTGCAGCGTAGATCTCTTTCAGACAACAGATTCTGCACCCAATTGCCAAGCCAGTCAGAGACAAGCTCCTGTAAATGCCCTAGAAATACACCAACTAATTCTGCCCTAGATTCTGTTTCCTGTGTGGTTCAAAAGGAAAGATCAAACACTGCCTTCTTGAGGCCAACTTCATAAACATTGAGGAAATTCCCCATGAATTCACACCATAAAAAGAGCTGATAATTTTTTCAGAAGCGGGCTGCCCAATTGTGGACTGCTATTAATTTTTGAGAGAGTTGTGGGTGAAGTGGCAATCTGGTAGGGAAAACACTGCAGTTAGGAATCTGCTATATGAATTTGCAAAACTTTTTTTTAATTTTTAAATCCTCTCAGATTATAAATGTGCACACATACTATGTGCTAAACAGTCTTTTGCTTTATGCACATTATTCTTATACAGAATCATGCAATTTAAAGCAAGAGATTAGTTAATTCAAGGTTAATTATCTGGTAGGTAGCATGGTAAGTAACATATGCATCTGGCTCTGGAGTCTATGATGTTGGAATCTGCCATGCTATCACATTTGTGATGCTCGGTAAATGTTTCAGTCTTAAAGAAAACACATCCTAAAAGGAATGGGAGTCTATTTTGTGGTTATTCTTCCTAACAGCCAAAAAAAAAAGGGGAATACCCCAAATATCCATCAGCTGGTGAATGGATAAATAAAAAGGGGTGTATCCATCAATGGACAACTATTTGACAATAGAAAGGAGTAAATGCTAATTAGGTTCAGAAAAAAGAAGCCAGACACAAGAGATCACATATTGACTGATTTCATTTAAATGAAATATTTGGAAAAAACTTATAAAAATATAAAGTAGATCAGTGTTTGCCTGGGGACAGGGTGGAAATAAGGATTAAGCATAACTGGAGCTGATGGATCTTTTGGGGGTGATAAAAATGTTAAAACTAGATTATGGTAATGGTTTCATAACTCAGTTTACTAAAAATTACTAAACTATAAATTCAAAATGGATGAATTCTATAGAATACAAAATATACCTCAATAAAGTTGTTTGAAATTAAGAATTATGGTCTACCTCACCTACCACAGTTCAGGTATAATTTAGTTTGATTTAATGTATATATGATTTGTTTGAACAGTGATTTGTGTCTAGAACTTCTGATGAGCTCTGAAAATTATAAAAACAATATTTTCTGTTCCCTGTGAGCTCAAAATATAGTTGGATAAATAAAATATGTCCAAGGAATTTTAATAGTATGATATCACTAATTAAGATTGTCCAGGTCAGCCCTGGCTGGCGTAGCTCAGTGGATTGAGCTCAGGCTGCAAACCAAAGTGTCGCAGGCTTGATTCCCAGCCAGGGTACATGCCTGGGTTGCAGGCCATAACCCCCAGCAACCACACATTGATGTTTCTCTCTCTCTCTATCTCCCTCCCTTCCCTTTCTATAAATAAATAAATAAAATCTTAAAAAAAAAAAGGATTGTCCAGGTCCTGGCTGGTATGGCTCAGTGGATTGAACACAGGCCTGCAAACCAAAGTTTGCCAGTTTGATTCCCAGTCAGGACACATGCCTGGGTTGTGGGCCAGGCTCTCAGTTGGGGGGCACATGAGAGGCAACCACACATTGATGTTTCTCTCCCTCTCTTTCTCCCTCCCTTCCCCTCTCTCTAAAAATAAATAAACTAAATTAATTAATTAATTAAAGATTGTTCAGCATATAAATCTAACTTCTGGGAAATTGATAGCATTAGTTGACTGTGTAACCATAGAACCAGCTCAAAATTGTCCTATCCTGTTTAACAAGATATGAGATGGTTTTCAGAGACAGCAAAACCCAAAACCACAAGTCATGTAATCAAGACATACACAGAAGAGAGAAATTTGACCTCCAGCTGTATCCAGAACCAAATTCTCACCTCCTACCCCCCAATCAAAGGACTGAGACATAATCAGAACGTGAACTTTAGACCCATTTCAGAAGCAGAGGGTCCTGTTGCCCAGGAAGATCCTGTGTTGACATCCCTTTACCGTAAATGGCAAATTAAAACTTGCCCCATTAGTGTTTTCTCATACCTGTTCCATTATATCTTGAAAAACCCTCCCAGAACCCTGGACCAGGCAATTTGGGCTTTTGAGTATTAGCTTTCTGTTCTCCTGAAGCACCATTTATAATACAATAACCAATTTTTCTCCACTCCAGTTCTCGGTGGTTAGTGTTTGGTTCTGCTAGCACAGAGTGGACCAACTCTTTCTGCTATGCAATAACTTTAGTACCTTCTTTCCTGGGAACAACTGACATAAACGTAGGAAAGAGCATGAGGTAGGTGCTAATACCAGGAAACAGTGCCTGCCACAAAACAAAACTTAAATCCCGTTCTGAAAAGTGTAACAGGATTGGAAGGTGTCTCAATGGCTAACTTCTAGATTTCCTTCCCAAGAAAAGAGGTAAAATTATGGTTAAGAAAGAAAACCTTAAAGCACCTCATTAATATCTCCTAATTTAGAAGTGTAGGGGCTAGACTTGGGGATGGGCTGCTAGACAAACAGAAGCTATTCCAAGTCAAGCTACTGTTTTTCCCAGATCATAGCATTTAGATAATTCAGTTATAGAAGAGTAGGGGCATGACTGCATCATTCAGAAAGCCCACTTACTGTGAAGATTGTCTCTAATGAAAATACTGATCCACTGAAACATTTACCCACATTTTGGAAAAGTGTCCAGAATGAAAAGGGTATACCTCTAACAGAAGGAGAATTCCTCCAACTAGTAGGGCAGAGTCCTGCAAGTTATAGCTGCTCAATTTACTTGAAATAGAGACCAATTGACCTCTAAACATATTGCATAAATTAAATCTTACCTTAAGTGACTTGCAGGGTAGAAATCTCCACAATTCTAAATAAATAACACAAAGACTAGTCCAGTTTAATCTTTTATATTAGTGTTGAGTTGCACTCAAAATAATTTTATCTTTTGTGTATTCATTCAACAAATACATATCTATTGTGCTCTCTGTGTTCTAGGTATTTTTTTGGACAGAGAAATTGCAGTAGTAAAGAGAATAGAGCCCTGGCTGGTGTCACTCAGTAGATTGAGTGCGAGCCTGTGAACCAAAAGGTCCCTGATTCAATTCCCAGTCAGGGCACATGTCTGGGTTGCAGGCCAGGTCCCTGGTAGGGGAGCACATGAGAGGTAACCACACATTGATGTTTCTTTCCCTCTCTTTCTCCTTCCCTTCCCCTCTCTCTAAAAAATAAATAAGTAAGTAAATAAAATATTTTGTTAAAAGAGAACAAAACAGGCAGTAGGAGGAGAAAAAATTAAATAAGTGGATTTTTAAAAAAGAAGATATTTTAAAATAGTGACAAGCACTATGAAGATAGTACAATACTGCATTGAAATAGTACCTTTTGTGGTGAGAAAAGGTATCTGTTTCAAACAGGGTATGAAGGGAAGGCTCTGCCCCAGCACTTACTCTGTGACACCAGACAAGGTATTTAACTCTCTTATATTCAATTTTCTTTTCTACAAGTAGTCAGTGTCTTTCTGTTGGGCACTAGGCTAAGTATTGGCATTACCATCTCATTTACTTTTTATAGTAACCCTAGGTGGTAGATACTATCAATACCCACTCTGTAGGGATGAAGAAACTGAAGCATAAAAATCATTAAGTAATTGACCCAAGGTCACTTAACTAATGAGTGGTAGATCAAGAAATCCAACCCAAGTCTCTCTGGTCTCAAGCACTTTGCTAAACTGCCTCTGTAAAGGAAGGTGAAACCAACCTTGAAGAATTCCAAAAAAAATTAAATGAGAATACACACGCAAAACACCCAGTACAACAACATCCCTATCTTAGGCACTCAGACAGGGATATGCAGGGTATAAAATACTGAGGGGTTGAAATACACATGTGAAATGAAATTACAGTGGAGTCTATCACAACAGAAAGCTCAACATATTTCTGAGGCATGTTTTATAATTTACATAGCATATTTCATTTATTATCCTAAGTATCTATGGCCTATCATGTGTCTTACTGTTAATGGGAAATCAGTGCATTTGAATGTAATATTGAAATACTGGATCACGTATTCTAACAAGCAGTGTTCCCTACAATGGTTTATTATTTTTCACCATTGGCTCTTGTTCCCACTTTTCAGGATATTTCTATATTACAATGAAGCACAGAACAATAAACACAATTTCACTTAATAGCGAAAAAAAATGCCCAGTTCAAGCAAAATACAAAGCTTTGTTTCTAAGACATCTCATAACTTTACAGTCTAAATCATCCCATGTATTATATTCACCATTTTAAACTCAATCACTTTCACATCTAGAAGGGCAAAAAATAAAAAAATTAACCAGTCTTCCTGAATCTTCTCTTGTGTGGTTGATTACTGCAATGGGAAGGGTACTGACTGGTTCAGCAATGGTAGCTCCTAATGTACCTAGCGTTTGCCACAGTTAACCAACTGGTGAACACTGGAGGGCAGCAGGGAAGCCAGTGTAAGCACCGTGAAATATTTTAGCAGGACACCAGGTGGCAATGCTTCAGGAAAGAACTTTTTTCTTGATACTTGGAGTATGCTAGAGTCTGATTCTCAAGGAATCTCAAGAAAAGAAAATAGAGATTAGATAAAGGCTTCACAAAGTGGTGACATTTGAGTAAAGACATCAAGAAAGTTTAGAGGCACACCATGCCAATATTTGGGTGAATGGCATTACAGGTGGAGAAGTTAAAGGCAAGAGATAAAAAGTGCTGATATGGCAACATGCTTGGAGTACTTAAGGAATCATATCTATTGCTTCTGAGGAGAAGTCAGGCATCATTTTTAATGATGTTTCACAGAACACATGTATCAATTTTCTCTGGGTATTGACAAGATTTTTTAGTCCAATTGAACAGACACTCTGAATATGGATTTGACTTTGATGCTTGCAATACTTCTACCAAAATTACAGTGATGGACTTGCAGAATTCCTTATTCAACTTATAGCATTCCACATAGCATTGCCCCTGAATAAGAAGCTTGTTTTATAGAAAG